TTTCCTTTTTTTAAAGCTTTTTTTTTCAATTTTAAAAATGCACCATTTTGCTTTCTGGTAAATGAATCTCAATCTTCTCTTATTGGTTATAGCAAGTATTTAGGAGATTATTCATAGCATGGTCCCAAATTCTAGCGATGTTCATCAGCGCCTTGATTTTACATATAGAGGGGACAGCATGTCTATCTATGACTTTTATTTGAGACATCCACTTCAATCAATTCAATCACAAGTAAAATATTTTGTCACAGAGATACTTACTAATTTACTGGCAGTAAGTATTCAACATTCTTTGTTTTGTCACTAGTGTTTTTTTATTTCTAATAAAACTATCTTTCTATCTATCCATCCATCCATCCATCCATCTATTTTCTATAGCTGCGTAACTCAACCAAATGGGCAGCGTACAATCTTAATTAAGCAACTGGTTCATATCCGGCTGCAATGCCCCGGAATCCCATGATCACCTTTAGTGACCTTCTGAAAAGAAAAGTCAGTGGGAAAGCCAGATTTACTTAAGAACCAGGTTACTCACTTAACAACTGCAATAATTCACTTAAGAACTGTGACAAGAAGGGTCATAAAATGGGGTAAACCTCACCTAACAATTGTCTCACTTAGCAACAGAAAATTTTGGCTCAATTGTGGTCATAAGTCGAGGACTACCTGTACTCCCTTTCTAAGGATATTGTATTACTAGGTAAGTATAGATCAAAACAGAATGAAAGCATAGGAAATCATTAATTCATTCTTCCTCAATAGATTCCCCTCTATATAGAGTTCCTACTCTATATAGTTTTGGGATAAATATGCCATTGGACAAATGGTTCATACGTCTACTGCTGCCCTTTTATATTTACACTGAAAAACCAAGCAAATGAATACCCACTGACATCTGAAAAGAAGCGTAATAGATCTCCTTGTGTAAGCTATGTCCTTGTCCACTCAACAGTTTATTATATTCTTTCTGTGCTGGAATCCTAATGTTTGGAGCTGATAAATATCTCTACCTCATATAGTTTTATGAAAACTGTGGTTCATATCCCCTTCTCCAGTACTTGTGCTTCACATATCTCATTCACATACACAACTCCATATAGTAATTTTTTGCATTTATCCTATTTATCTAGCCTTACTGCTTACCAAATGCCATTCTATTCCAAATTAAGAGGGTGTAAAAAAAAATCAGCTATATGGTTATTCCTCACACTTATAAGTGTCACAGCTTTCACTAGTCCAGTGGTTCTCAACCTTTTTAATGCCGCGACCCCCAACCGGTCGTAAGTCGAGGACTACCCAACCGGTCGTGAGGACTACCCAACTGGTCGTAAGTCAAGGACTTTCCCTACCCGGGAGTGCCATGCATGCGTGGTGCCATTCCCTGCGCCGGCCGAAGCATAGCTGGCAAGCGGCAGAGATGGCACAGGCTGACCACCGGCTGGCCCAGCCCAAGGGAGGTAAGGCACCTGCCGGGCCCCACGCACACCAGCAACCCTCCCTGCGCCCGCTGGCCTCCCACCCCTGGCCCTCTTTTACTTACATTTTTAGTAGTTGCTCAGCAGGGAGGGGTGGGATCTTCCACACAGCTCGCCTTCGCTGCAGACAACTTGCAGCACCGTTTGCAGAATGGGACTTTTGGCGGGCTCAGCAGGGCAGAGACAGCCTGGACAATTCCTATTGGCTTTTGAAAGCCAATAGAATTAGACTCTATTCAAGAGAGTCTATTCTATTGGCTTTCAAAAGCCAATAGAATAAAAGGGAGTAGCACAGCTAAGGAAAAGGGGGAAAAAATGGCAGACTGCGTTGTTTGGCGACCCCCGTGAAATGGTCATTCGACCCCAAATGGGGTCCCGACCCACAGGTTGAGAACCGTTGCACTAGTTACATATATCTATTTGGATGCATTGCAACAGGTGCACATTTACAGTCAGTGCAGCATCCTGTAGTCACATCATCATTCTCATGCTTCACAAATGGCTTTTGACATGCAGTTAAAGGAGAATGCAAAAATAAAATGTTGTGATTATGTGATTTTAACAACCATAGTGACTTGCTCAATGACTGAATGGGAAGTGAGGATGTAAGCCTATCATGGTCATGTGATTTTCTACTACGTGACCATGGCACTTAGTGACAGATTTGCTGATCCCAGTTGTGGATTCTAGGCGAGAACTACCTGTACTTCATTTCATTTAGAGGTTAAGTATAGAAAGGGGGGGGGATCACAGTCATGATCCTGATTTTTTGTCTCGATCAAGAATCATGAAAGCAATAGCAATTGTTCCCAAGCAGTTTAACTGATATATGGGTGTAAGTCGCCCAGAATCACTTCAATAGTGAGATGGGCAGCAAATGAAATTAAAACAAAAACACCAAACCTAATGGCCAAGTCAATTTCCTCACCAAGATAACATTCAATGGAATAATTTAACAGTTAAGCTAGATTGTTAAAGTTGAAAAAGAGCTGAATTACTGAAGCTGTTTGTTCTCTCTTCTTAAAAGATGTGTTTTGTATGTTTTTATAGTATACAAAGAAAGGTAAGATTTTCCTTTCTAATGAGTTATTCTAATTCATGCTATTTTAGAAAAAGAATGAAAGAGCACTTTTAGATTGACAAATGGAAAGGGCAGATAAATATGTATTAATGTATTGTTTTATTAGGCTCTATATTAACCTTGGAAAATACTACATCATTACATACAATTCTGTTCTTTTAAAAACAGTAAAATTCTTTAATGCATTCTTTGGTAACATTATCAAAAATGAATTAGTGATAATTCAGGAAATTTATGTGTAAAGCCTTGTTTCTAAAAAATATACCTTGTTTCCAGACCAGATTAAGCCATACTATATAATATAAAAATTATACATATGTTAAGAGAACTATAAAGAAACAAAATATGACAGTCTAGAGGCCCACATCAGGCTGATATCACAATAAATAATAAGGCAGTCTACTTACATAAAGGGAACAATAATTGCATTTCACAGATAGAAACAAATCATGCAACTTTCTATCCAACTCATCAGTATAAATTCCATATATTTTATGGGCAGTAGAAAAGGGTAGATTCACAGACAGAAACAACTCCACGTAATCAATGCCCCAGTATTTTGAACTACAAATATTTTGCCATTGGACCTTCTGACTGGATCTAGTGAGATAAAAAACTGGAGACATCAGATTTTCCACCTTGCAAATCATTTGGTAAGATCAATAAATCATACAATCTGAAAAGTATATACATTATTATAAAGAATGCTGGTCTAATTGATGAAGAAACTATTGATTGTTTATATCCTACATTTCTCTGAAGATAAATTCAAAACATTACAAGTGGGAATCTCAGCTTCCAAATGAGGCATTGATTGGGTTCAAATATTATTTGCATATAATACATAATTGAGTTTTCAGACTACATCATTAAGCAAGTTATTTGGGATGACTTACTAAAGCTTTGTAATCATAAAACATATTGACAGATCATGGGATTTTTAGAAAATGAAAGAACTTGACATTTAAGACTTAAATCAAGGTATTCTTTTTTTCAGTATTGAGGGAAGTTAGCCCAGAGAAGGAAATATTAAAAGGGCAGAAAAATATATTTTTCCTCAAAAGGATTTTTTAAAACCAAACCTGGCCCCAAATCTATCTCTCTGCCCCAAGCAAGAGCTAGCCCCATACAAATGCAGATGTAAAACCATCAGAAAGTTGAAGCCAGAGCAATCAAGACAAAGAGAAAATCTGCAGGCCCCACTCAAACTCTAGGAGTCATTAGCCCCATCACCTGGGAAGCAGGATATGATAATAGAATTAAACCACAGATATCAAGGCCTAGAAAAACACTCAGAAATAGCCTCAAGGTTCATGCCACAGGAACAGGAAACTATTCCAAGTAAGGCTAGAGCGGGTATAAAAACCTACTGCCCATATGCTCAACTCCTCTTTCCTCTCCTCTGCTCTTTCTTGCAAAGACCATCTTTCTGCTTCTTCAATACACTGTAACCTTCTTCCCAAAGTAGTCGCCATGTTGCTTGGATGAACCAGGATGAAGACTTACTTCTGATAGTATCATTAACCCAAAATAAATAGGGTGGTCCTGCGATAAGAATCCCATCAGTACCAAGTGAATAGTTATGCCTTCCTTTCTCAAGGAAAGGTATCACAGTAAGAGAGAATTTGATCCTCTCATAGGAAGGAGTTCCATATCTATGGCAACGTCATGGAAAAGTCCTTATTCCTAGTCATTATTTGCCAAATCTAAATCTGCTGATTGAACATAAGCAGAACCTCTCCATTCATACTTACTGCGTGTGTTGGATGATTTGGGTAGGGGGGTCTTTTGAATATCTGAGTATTAAACCACTAGGGATCTATAGCAAGATTAAAATTTGGCCTGCCACCCTGCAAGCAATGTAGTCACTTAATAACTGGGTAGGTGCACATTGCATCTGTTGCAGACTTCAGGCCATTTTGTATAGTGATTGCAGCAATCCAATCAAGATGGGAATCTGGACCACTGACACTGGGTTGTCTTCTTAGCTGATATACCAACCACAATATAGAGCCAGCTTCCCCACTCCCATGATATCAGTAGATGTACCAATCAAAAGGGCACCAAGCACAGAGGTATCTGCGGAGGAGTCAAAATGTGCAAGACAGACAGGTTTGCAATTAAAATTGCCATCCTAACCCCAGCTTCCCTTCCCATGTTTCTTCCTCTGTGCCTTTTGCAAAAGATTGGACCATTCCATAGAATCCTTCATAATGCCTTCATAATCCTTTGAAGGGAAGACGACCTCATGCAAAACGCCCATTTTCCAAACTTGCAGGCTGGACATACTCAGCCATCTCGTAATTCTGCTGCTTCCACAGATTCAGCAGCAATTTTTCTGACCTTCACTCATTGCATCACAGCCTCCAAAACGCAACAGAGTCTGCAATTTAATCTTGCCTAACCTTTAAAAATCTAGACTTTTTTTAGTTACAATTTATTAAATCAGGGGTTGGATTAGAAGACCTCCAAGGTCCCTTCCAACTCTGTTATTTTAAACACTTTATCCGATAGAGATGGGCGGTTAAGAAATAGTATATATTTCTTTAGGCCACTATATATAAATCAATCAATGAATCAACCATAAACAGAACCAGTCAAACTTTGGAAGCCTCGATGCTTTTCACCTTTTCTTACCCTAACATTTCTGATTACAAAGTGGGAGGGGCCGCAACCCTCTACGCCCCCGCCCCAGGTAGAAAACTAGAGAGGAATCTGCTTGGTTTCCATTTTCAGGGACTGCAGTACCCGTGAGAAGCGATCCGAGAACAGCTGTTTGCAGGGTTTATAAGACTGCGCCCATTGATGCTAGCAAGAGTAAAGAACTTCCGCGGCTGCTCCTTTTTCCAGTGCAAAGAAGGGCATCTGGAAAGCGAACGGGCAAACCTCCGGCGCGCCTTCTGCCTTAGACACGGCCGCCGTTTCCACTCTTGGGAGATGCACCGTAGCGGGAAGCTCTCGGGCGAGACAAGCCGCTGGGGGCAGCAGCGGAAGCCGCCAAGCTCCTCTCTCAGGGGCCTCCACCTCCTCCGCCTTCGCCTCCGCCCCTGCCGGCGGTGCCTTCCCAGACTCCTCTCCGGGTAAACAGCGATGGCCGCAGATGAAGGAGGCGGAGAACAGGATAACAACATGGGAAACCACTTGCAGATCCTCCCCGGTAATAGCCGTTGCTGCCTTACGCCGATGGGAACCGGGGAGCCTCCTGAGCGCGGCGGGGAGCGCTTGGGGTAGAGGAAGAGGAGGCGTCGGCGGTCGGGGGGTCCCCGAAAACAGGCGATCAAGGGGTTTCGGAGGGGAGGGCAGAGAGAGAAAAAGCGACACCCGCCAGTTGTCCTCCCCACCGATTAGGGAGAAAGACCTGAAGTTCTGGAAGGCGTGCGCACGGGCTTGAACTGGGCGCAATTTGGGTTTCAGGCCAGGCAGGGGCAAAGGGAAGAAGCGAAGGGGCAAAGGCTGGGCCTGAAGGAGGGCTGAATCGCGGATGGTAAGGAACTGAAAACCTGTGTGGGCAAGAGCAGGGCATAACTAGTGGGGGACCTGATGCGTCGAAATCTAGGGAAGGGAAGAGATGGGTCTGTGTCAGTGTGGACGAGGAGCTTTGATTTTCTTTGATAGTCAATAGCAAAGCAGTCAAGGAAATGAGATCAGTCACCATTTCCATTCTGGAGTATTTTTGCGGAGGATAACTCTTAGGAATTGTAGTACAGGGATGGGGAAGAGGGATGGACCATGGCAGAATTTGCAAAGCAAGAACTGGTTTAAATAAAAGCCAGGATGCGGGATTGGGGGTGGCACATGAAGAGAATCACTCCTATAATTTAGAAGAGAGATCTGGAACTGGGTGGTGGGTGGTGTGGAGTGGGGGGGGGGCTTCCTGACTACACGTCTGTCAAATGCACAAAAATCTTATCAAGAAACTGCATGACATCTCTTCATCAGCCATGACAAGGAGGAAAGGAAGTAAGTTGGTGATAATTAGGATACCTTGTATTAGAGATGACATCCAGAACTATAATAATATGGGTGTCCATGATATAAGGAGCTAGAGTACTGAGACTTGTAAGGTCACAATATTAAAATCTCCACTGACGATGTTACCTAGCCTGGTAATGAAACGTTCAGAAACCAACCTACAAGCTCGGAGAATGAACCTTCACCTTTATTAAAATCTCTTTTTCAAAAATATAATCTAAGAAAATAAGGAGAGTTGCTATTTGGGGGGGCACAATATAAAGTGAATTAAAAAGCAAAAAAAAGGTTTGACTTACATGTGGTCAGTCAATTAATTCTGATTATTTTGGACATCGTAAAACCTTTGAACAGGGGCATTTCACCAAACTGTTACAGACTTTTGTAAATATAGTCTTGCTGTAAAAGCTGGTAGCCTTTCTATTTACATTGGTTGCAGAAAAGGCAATTTGTCATTTTGGTCAGCATGGAACACAGGCCTCTCTCTAAGCTGTTTAATACAGAAAACGTATGCAGACAGCCCTCTACTGTTTTTCTAGGAAAAGATTTCTCTGCTTCAGCAACCAACCAGAAAACCTTTTGCTGGCCTCCTCAGATGCCTATCTGGAAATCATTGACATTTTTGTGAATTTGTTTAGCTTTTTTTTTAAAGAATCCTTTAAATCAATGATTATTAGCATACCTTGTTTTTTTGAAAACACAACTGGTTGCTTCATTTTGTCTATCCTGAGACTAATGTCACACAGTGTCATTACATGATTTTAGAAATGCCCACTTAGTCTTTCTTCCTATTTTTACATTATTTTGTAAACCCTTGTATCTCATTAGTCACCTTATTTTCTAAACAAAAATGCTTTGAACTTTTTTTCTGCATATAGATGGCATATAATTTTGATTGCTTTTTTATCCCTTACTTGAAATTATAATTGTAAATTATGTTTATAAATTATAATTTACATTTTCAGCTTAACAGTTAACCCAGGTGATATTGTACAAATATTTTTCCTGGGTAGTCATTGTGATTTCAAAACAAAATGTTATATGATTTATAAATTATCCTGTAAGGCAGGCTTCCATTCACTCCTTCTCCATTCAGCTAACTTTAGGGGAGCAGAAAACTATTAAAATGTTATGTCTATGATGAAAACAAAATAAATGTTTTTAAAACAAAGAAGTACATGCCACATGAAAGTAAAATTCATGTTCCCTAATAAAGATGAAGATAGCTTTACATAGAAAACAAACAAAGGCTGAAGTCTTGCTGTTTGCTGTAGACTGCTTAATTATTGATGTAGAAAGGGAGAGAAGTTATAGTGATTTGGAAATGTGAAACTGAAATATATAACCTTCAAATGAAAAAAAGAAGGAAAAATGTCTGCAAATACAGAATGTGTAAAATGTCCCAAAGCTGTGAACACAGAGTTGTAATGTGCTTTCCTAAAGTGTTTTATGCACAGGCTAACAGGTACTTAGAACAGTAGTGAAATGCTATTTGTATCTACTGTTTTATTAGCTTTATAGGGCCACTCAATTTGCAAGAACAAACTGGGTGACTTATGATTATGAAAAAACATGAAATTGAACTCAGAATAAGGTACAGTGTGCCTTTTCTACTTGAAACAATAGGAAAATAGAAAAATTGAAATAATTATAGTGACAGGAATAACTCAGGCCATCCAATACATAGCTCATTTGAGAGTTTTTAGGGCTTGGGAAGGGATAGAAGGATTGGGGCCATCCAAACCTCAGAGAGAATTATGTTCAATAGGGCAAGCACTGCAACAGAGAATGGTCCTGAATCCCACTAGATGATGTTTCATGGAAGAGACATGAAGAATGTGCAGTCTGTTGATTCTCATGGGATAAGCAGAGACAGTTGGAGACATACAAGTCACAGACCTTGAATTTCACCCAGAAGATTATATGAAGCAAACACAATTTGTGAAATAATGGTTTTAGGTGGATGCATAAGTACTAGCTCCATTATATTCTGAACCAGTTTCCATTTCTGGGTAGTTTTCAAAAGCTTCAGGGACAGCCCCATATAGTGTGTATTGCAACAATCTAGATGTGAATAAGGCAGGAGTGACAGTATGTCCTCCTGATTGAGGTGCTATTGATGCACAAAATGGATTTATGCAAAGTTTCTCTTGGCCAAGTCTGCCACTTCTTCCAGGAGGATCTGAGAATCCAAAAGGATCACCAAAGTATATATCACTTGTGTTTAGGGGAGTATGATCCCTTCCAGGACCAAAAGTGGAGAGTTCCCAGAGTCAAGGAACGCAAAACCTATAGCCCTTCTGTTTTGCTAGATTGAGGAAAACCTGTTTTTCTCTAACAGATCCTACAGGCTCCAAACACCAGAAAGAATCTTGATGGCATCTCTTGGTTGGACTAGTGTGAAGATATATAATTGTGTATCATTGACATACTGATGATGCCTGATTCTGTAGTGATCTTGCTCAGCAGTTTCATATAGAAATTAAATAAGACAAAAGTAAGAGTAGAACTCTGGGATATTCCATAAAGCAAGATCTTTTCTCCCCTTTTCAGCACTAACTGGAAATGATTGTGGAGGAAGGAGGAGAACCAACACAATGCTGTACTTCTCACTATTAAACCTCAAAGCCAGTGTCTATCAATGGTAACCAGAGAACCAAGAGTTCGAGAAGGGCTACAATGGACGGATTGTACTTATCCCAGTCTAAAGCCTGACTGGAAGGGTTCTAGATAATCCATTTCCTCCAGAACTCGCTGAAGCTTCAAGCCAGCCATCTTCTGAACAAATTTTCCCCAAAAGGAAGGGTAGAGACCAAATGAAAATTGTGCAGCATTGTTAGATCTAGGGAAGATTTCTTGAGAAGGGTTGAACCTCAGTCTCTTTGAAAGCTGGAGGTAAACTTTCTTCACTCAAGGTAGCATTTCACAGAGTTCTTTTCTTTCCCAGGGATGATTGGGTTTACCTGAACAAGATCATTGGAGATCTGTCGCCATATATAACAAGAATGGAAAAAATGTGTTTGCTGCTCTCACTGCCAAAGGATCTTACCTGTGTTGATTAGATTCATTCCTTGTCTTTCTCCAGCTGTGTTCCAGGTTTCCCTTCTGCTTTTCTTTTGCTCTTCAGAGGATCAAAGAGCTTTCATCTACCTAAGGACAGAGAGAGGCTGCAAGGGCACAATTCAGTCCAAGGATATGACTGTCCCCTCGGTCCAAACAATGATACCTTAGATCAGTGTTTCTCAACCTTGACAATTTTAAGGCATGTGGACTTCAACTCCCAGAAATCCACAGCCAGCATTGCTGGCTGTGGAATTCTGGGAGTTGAAGTCCACATGCCTTAAAATTGTCAAGGTTGAGAAACACTGCCTTAGATGAATATCAGTGATGTTCAGTGATAAACATCAAAGCCTCAGAAATAACTCCAAACTGCCTTTTGAAACCCCAAATAGTCCACTGAGTTCCTAGTACAGATTGGTCCAATAGCAAGAAGTGGTTATAGAAAACTTAATATAAACATGGAGTGATTTGCAAGAAATGACAGTGATGCCTCCCAGTTCTAGATAATGTTGTGAAATACAAGCTACTACAATGAGTATTGACCACTTCTGTAAGTTGATCCCATAGCTACTTCTATCAGATCCATGTTGTCAGGGTAATCATGAGCGTCCATGACCAGAAAAAGCATTAACATTTTGTAGCACTAATAAATTGGATAACTTCAATACCAACCCATTTAGAGGCTCAATGATCTCTGATAAGGGGTCCACCATGTAGCAGAAGATTAGTATAGAAGCAGTGGTCCCACATAATCCCTAGAGTTTTAATGTTAGCAGAAACTCATAACCAACTTTGTGTGGGGCAGTGTTTCTCCCAAATAATCTTAACTTCCCCATTATCCCTGTCCAGGGATTTTGGGTAATGCTATATTTAGGAACCCATAGTCAGCACTGGTGAAATGCAATCTGCATAGAAGGCATCCATTATAGTTGGCTTACTCCAGTACAAGTCATATTTCACTGAAGGCTATAAAGTTTATCAGATTCAAATTCTCCCTTTTCCTCCATGAAATTTAGGGTTGGTGCATGCAGTTCCTGGATAGTTTGTACAAACAATTATCAGATTTAGTCCTACAGAGTATTAACATAATTGCTTAGAGTTTTTTTTTCCCTTAGTTACCAGCCTGAG